TACGAATTATTAGTTATTATCAAAGATGAGAACAGGTTTACCGACTCATCATCTTGGTTTTTTCTCGATTTGAATTAACTTTCATTACAATAAAATTAGTTCAGTGAAACCAGGAAAGTCGATTAAGGATGTCTGGAAAATTGTATTCTTTTGTGGTTTAAGTCTATAGTTCATTTTTGGAACGAGTTATAATATCTTCATATTGGTAGTTATGCAAAATCTTGATGGTTAGGAAAAGTTAAAAATTTTGTTAGAGAATAATGCTTTCTTTGAGAGCCCTATTCGAATGTCACAGAAACTGCATAAAAAAGGATTCAGTTTCGACGTGATCACCGACATGAGCAGATGACAAACCATAGCAATGGAGAAAAAATCGTCGAGTGCACACTCTCTCCATCAGCTCCGAGATATGTTTGACTTACTTCGTCCGCAGTATGTTGATGGTATCAGATCTCCATAGCCTGAAAAGCAGAAATTTATCTCTCTTAGAAAAGCTCCTAGTCAGAAGCACATACCGACAGTGGCAAATGTCACAAAGAAGAGCCACATCGCATCGGACATTGACATGTGTTCTCCGGTAGGTTTAAAATCACATGCACGCATGCTCCAACTTCCAACGAAAAAAGCAATTGTGCAAAATATCACAATGCAACGTGTCGGCCATTGCTCTGCATAGGTTTTGATGACAAAGCCAAAATCCATTGTGATTTGGTTGAGATAACCGAGTGATTGTGATAAGGTATCTTGAACCAAATGCGAATGAAACACGATGTAACGACAAAGCAGATAGAGTCGAAGAAACACTATTGATACACAGAAACGATGCTTCATTTCAACTGATGGAAACAGAACATGCACACTTACTCGGCAAACCAAGCGCCACATCGAGGGGTATGTAATACAAGGAGGACGGCACTGGTGTCGAAGTTGAATCCGTTGTCTGATCTTCTGAACTATGTTGGACTGGAAAATGTCGAGGGAACGGATGAATGGTACAGAAAAATAGTTCCAGTGCAATCAGAACTGTTTTGTTAAATGACAATACTACACGCCAGTCTTCGATCCCATTATTGACAGCATAAAGACTCAAATCCAAATAATGATAAAAAATGATAAGACCGAGAAGGACCGCGGTCGAAATTGTGATTACCAATTTGATGGACCAACTTGCTATTGTGTCTCTTCTATCGACACTATGAAAGATTAGTTCATTTTCTATAACCATGAGAACAATACCCAAAAGACCAACAAAACACATAACATCGCTCACTCGACAACTAGAACGGAGAATAAATATACAAAAAACAATGAAAACAAAAACGATCTCACCATCGACGACGCAATTGTTTTCGCTTGGTCAGTCGGCGACTTACAATAGCCATTAAAGTTTCGTCAGCGTTTCTCACTTCGTTAGTCGACTTTCCATGAAGTTCAATTTCACTACTTGTTACGTTACTCTTCTTTGATAATCGACGAGAAAGGGTATGTGACCGCGAGCTGGCAGTCCGAATATGTGACCGTAAGCTGGCAGTCAGAGTATGTGACCGTGAGCTGGCAGTCCGAATGATCGTAGACACTGGTGGCACTTGACTGCGCGGTTCAGTGTCTTCGGCAGATAGTGAGACGCCGCCAGATTGAGGACTGTTGATTAATGTCAGATGAATGTCGCCGGAGTTCATTCCATTCATCATGTATTATGTCAATATGTGCTCTCTAAAAACACAGTGCTGGATAGAACCTTTTAAGGTTCAAGAATTGGGTATCATTTTATGAACCTTTTAAGGTTCGAGCCAAAACATGGTTGTGTCTCACTTTTTTTTTCTTTCGGGTAAAAGGTTCGAATCACGAATGTTTCAGTATCGTTCAAGCAGTTCATACCGAACCTTTGCAAAAGAAGGGTTCTGTACAGGACCTCTCTCAACAAGAAGGTTCCCTATGGATCCCTTTTTCGCCGCGTCCCGCGTTTCTTTTCGTACAATATTCTACTGTTATAGTCTCTTACTTATATACCAGATGCCAGCCATACACACCAAACAAAAAGCATCGTTTACTAAACCCCTCTTGGGATTAGCAAAATCCAGTTACACGCTACCACTTCAAAAGTTTAGTATAAAACGTTTATGGTTTAGTAGCCTACTAAACCTGAAAGCGGTAGCGTGTCACTGCATTTTGCTGAACCTCTCAAAAAGGATTTAGTTACGTTTTATCTGTTCACAAATTGATCGATGAAATTGGCATTTTTATTGGCAAAATACATGAGCTGTGTTCGATATATCACTCTGGGTCCAAAAGCATAATAAAACTTTGTCTTTTTTAAGATGTGCCGTTTAATACTCTACAAAAAGCAAGGTGTACCTCATGAATAAGAGAATATGGAGGAAATATTGTGGATTTGCAATCTTCAGAGGCGCTGCTAATAAATGTTCAAACAACAGACACTGAATGAACGAAAAAAAAATCATGAAGTATGAGCATTCGGCTATCCCTCTTCATCTGTTTGCTACTCCCATTTGACACTTCTGAAGAGTCTTTATCACTATTCTGCCATAATGTGGAAGGGTTGCGAGGAAATTTGGATACTATAAAGTTGTTCGTATCAAAACACAAACCGTCAGTGGTTATGCTTCAGGAAACGTTTTTGACAGGGGATATTGATGGCACTGAAGTGAGTATTCTCGGGTATTGGTTGTGTAGGAGGGAAAGAGTGAGACGAGAAATATACAATCTCCCGGGGGGATTAGCCATTTTCATTCGTGATAAAATATCGTTTCTTTTGTTTCTTACTGTCGAATGTCTCTTAGTCCGTTCTCAGATAAAATCATTAGTTGTGTTTCTGTGCTGTAGCTACATAAAGCCCAGGATAGATGCGGTACAGAGATATTTTGAGGTCGCCTTCGATCGGATACCCTTTCAAATATCCTTATCAAAACTTTCAGCTTTTGAAGTAGAAGGTGCACCCTATCAACGGTTCGAAAAGTATCTGTCAGGGAGTAGCAAACGAGCGAAGGTGGGCTCCTTATTTCCTTTTAATATTCAGAAATGGCAGAGGTGCCTTCTGGAGTTTCCAGGGTTCCATCTTGGGCATTCGCTTAAGCGACGAACTCACGTGGGAAGAGCATGTTGACGGGTTAGTTCTCAGATGCAGAAGGTGGCTTGAAGCAATGTTTCGTACTTTCAAGGAAGCTCCAGTTAGCACCCGGTTACGTATCTTTCCAGTTTGTATTCTAGCAAACTAGACTGTGTAAACTGTTGTCTCGCCTACGATAACAATTGTTATACCAAAACTGAAATTTGGCGCATGAATGATTTTCAAAAAATTCGACGGATTGGTGTCAGAGTTAATTCAAAACTAAAGCGTCCCTCGTTAAAAGAAAGCTTTGTCGTTGAGGAGAAAATAGTTTTGTTCGATTCATTTCTATAAAGTAATGAACAAGTTATCTCCCCCTTTCAGTTTTTCATCTTCCCTTTATAACATCACTGACGGATCGTAGAACAAAGCGTCTGAATATAAGTACAGTTATAAAACACGTAAGAGCAAATACGAATCATGACACTGAGTATTACAAAAAATCGGGTAGCGGCAGCTTTCTTCTGTCGATTGTATATCAGAAATGGTTGTTGCGGTACGTACTCGAGGCCAGTTCAAAGCGACGCTGAAAAATCATTTGCAAATTTAAGGCGTTTTCTGTGGGTTTGTTTCTGTTTGTGTACTCTATTGTGTAAGAGTATATATATAGACATAAGCGTGTATTCTCTCTTTTATGGTGTTACTCCAGGTGGCAGTTTGTATAAGTACAAGCTTTTTACTTTTCCTGCTTTCCTGCAGCAGCTTTTTTTGTAAAGTCAGCTTTGTTTGTAGAATAAAATCAAGTTTAAGTTTAAGCTAATTCGAAAGGATGGCACTCCTTGTTTTGCTATAACTCTTCCCTACAAGTCCCTGCGATCGGTGGGCGAAATTGCTCTTTGAAGTAATCAAACAGATTTTTTACAATTTCCTTGTTGTCTGAACTAGTTTCGTTGCTTACAAGTAACTTGACGAGGTAGCTTTTGGGCGATAGATTCGAGAAAGTAAAGACTAAAGAATTGTGTTTGATTCTTTATGAGCTTTGTCTATGGATGAAAGAAACGCATTCCATCGTGATGCTTTATTAGAAGAAATTTCCTTCCGCACTTGTCGTGTTTGTAGATGCAGAAATATTCTGTCTAGTTTAAAATGATAGCGGTAAAAAAGATATCTTAATTTTCGAATGCTTTCTAAGTTTCTCAAGAAGGTAAGGATGTAATGCCGGTTTGTACATATCTCGACTAATCCAGCGAGTTAATCTCGTCTTAGTGCTGTCAACAATGTGGCATAAGGCTCATATCACTGTGTAACTGAGCTTGTTTGTTCTAACAAAAATCTTGTAACAGTAAAATAAAGCTTGATACGCTTTCCAAGCTGTGACAGTGTATGGCCCGTTAGCTTTAAAAACAATACTATTCACCTTATCACTATTTGGCCAATGATCATTAGTACCAAACCTTAATGTCTAACCCTTAATTCCACTAAAATTAATAAAAGAAAAATCTGTGTTACGATCCGATCATTTGAAAGAATTGAAAATGTTTTTCATGTATCCGAATTTGTTTACTTCTATCCAGTCCTTCAGAATTTTATCATGCGCATCTGGCCTGGTACACACTCTTAAAAGAATGTATACTACAAAATCAAAATGGTTTTTTTGCATTGCGGCCATACAAAACGTATTGCCCTTTTGTATTTAGAGTGCAAAAACCAGTTCCGTTTTTTAAAACACTGCTTTAACAACAGTAAATGAAAAAACGGATAAGTGTTTGTTATGTATGTGGTGGGTTTTGTACTTAATTTCAAAAGCGTCCTATAATATTTCAAAATACGCCTGCCCGTATTTGGATGAGTTTTTGCGATCTACAAAACCGAAATGCGTTTCGTATAGTCGCCAATACAAAAACCCTCCGAAATACTGTTTCCTGATACAAGTTCTCATAGTCTGGATAGTTCTGTGTCGCAGTCTTTGAATTGACATCACTCTCCTGATATTTTGAACTACGCTTCTCACTCTTAAATAACACATGAAGTTAAGGTCATAGGAGAGACAATACGTACAGTAATTCGGCATTGAAGAAAATCAAAACTGAAGAACAATGTGAAAAGACATCAGTATATCATGCGATAGAACTAGCTAAAAATCGACGACGCATGACTGTATGACTGCACACACACAAACAATGACAACAATCATAAGGGTATCCAATAAACGAAAATAGAATGGTGCAATAGGAAAAGACAAAATAGATTGGAACGCAAAACAGTAACGTATCAGCCGAGGGAGAGTCGAAAAAAGTGTTCTTTTGAATGGAAAAAAATATGTCGCTGAGTTGGCACGTGGCCAATAACCTAACAGCGTTGAAGAAAAAACAGAAGCTTCTTCTATCTGAATCCAACAGCATCTCTCATAGTCGAAAATAATATCACAAGTAAATAAAAAATAATGACAATCAACGTTAGTGAGAAAGAAAGAAGACGGTCGCTAAATTCTGCATTTTTGTATGTCATAACAATTCTGGGTCAGATTTTGTGTACAACACTGTTTCGCATTCACTATTCTACAATTGGTCAAAATTACTGCATCCGCTCGGTATCTTGCCCATAAATCTAACAAACTTACTATTTGAAAGAATGTGTTATAGCTCATTAACTTTACGGGACTTTAATGCTTCAGTGTCAGAATGAGATACAATTAAGAAAAAAGAACGTATCTTACAAAAACCAGAAAGGCTTTTACTTTTCATCCCAAAATCAAAAGTGGTTTATTAAACAGATAAAATTTAATAATCTACTTTCGTTTCCAAAGTCTTTTGCAGTAATTACGAAATCCTTTAGTTTTTTACAGAACCGTATTTCAATTTTTTCGCGAAAAACTTTGGGTATTGTACAATACGGTCAGGGATTTGAGATTAACTTGAGGTACAAATACAGTTTTTCGCTTTTTTCTAAACTCTCGTCTGTTTATCTCTTTCTCGAAGAAATCCACCAGTGATTATCTCAGTAGTTACAAAATGTAAGATTAAGGTAATGCAAATTTCAAGTGAAATTTGATTTTGGCATTATTATACATATTCAGATTCAGCTTAACGAGCTGATTCCAATTAACACCTTCCGAGTCTCCAAAAGCCATTTCTTCATGGAGAAAAACTCAAGTTACTGAGAGATCCTCAAAAAATACAATAAACCGTCCTCTATGATGAAATTTATGTTTTGAGTTTGTATCACAAGATGGAAGGTTCGAACTATATTTTTCTGAATCACCATTGAAAACTGATTTAGAAAAAAGTTTTCGGTGCATTTCACGGGTGAACAGTC